AAGGTCTTGGCACTGATGCCATGTCATCGTGATGATGATGATGGTCCTGACACTCCCACAATACTGCTTAAAGTCTTCAAAATGTCCTTAAAAACTCAAACGTACCCGGAGAGACGGAAAAATGGTATTTATCACACCTAAACACAAATGCGGCTCGAAAAAAGAAGTCAAAAACCACAGACCTGTGAATATCACACCTACAGCATCTAGAATTGTGGAGAAGCGAATAAAAGGTAACGTAAACAACTGTATGCTTGGCTGAAATACTGTTAGTCCGGACGAACATGGATTCCTTAAATCCCGAGAATGTTTGACCCTCCATCTGGGCTTCTATAATTTCGTGACCAGTAGCAGTGACGGACAACGACTAGCATTCGCCATCTACTTTGACATTTCCAGGGCATTTGACCGCGTCGACCATTTGCTGCTGATACGTAAGCTGATTTTCATGGGAGTGGGTGACCTACCATTAGGATGGCTTAAATCATTCCTCAACAACAGGTCCCGAATAGTTAGACTTAGTTCTGAGTTTTAAAAACCTAGCCCAACCACTTCTGGTGTAGTTCAAAATAGTGTCATCGGGCCCCTCCCATTTACACTACACTTCATTGACATATGCGCTCGCTTCTCGTATGAGAAACCATTTATTCTTGCAGATGACCTAAAAGTAGCTTATACATTCCAATGTGATAACCTGGCGTGCTTCCAGAATGTTGGGCAGAATGAATTAGATAAAGTGACTGCTTGGTCGTTTTTGTGGAATCTACAATTTAACCTGAATAAGTGGGGTTGGATCTGGTTCGGCGCACCCTCAATCGACACAAAACTAACGCTTCAATCTGCTAACCTAGCCAGACTCCGAAGTGTCTTTGACTTAGGCCTCAGGTACTCTAGTGACCTAAAATTCTCTGAGCAAGTGTCCTCACAGACTCGAAAGTCGAGGATATTCTTAGGATGCACACTCGGGAACTTTCAAAATAATGAAGCCAAGCTAATTCTGTACAAAACCTGTGTGAGGCCACTACTATAATACTGTCCATTTATTATTAGCAGCACTCGCACACATGACAAGTTAGGGATGGAAAGTATCCAACGATATTTCACGTCCAAACTAATTGGCTATGACTGTAAGAAAGACTACAACTCACGGTGCATGATTCTAAATCTCGACCCACTTTGGACGAGACGACTTATTATGAACCTAATGTTCTTCTTTAAGGTCCTAAATAAAATGCCATTCTCAGATAGTAAGGACATACAATTTTCACCGAAAGACTCTTACGACCTGCGTAACTAAACTTGCACAGTGACAATGAAAACCTTTAAATCAACACTACAAGAAAACTTCTTCAGAGCCATGCATTCCCAAATATGGAATAGTTTGCCCCTAGAAGTCAGGACCTGCATCTCGGTTATAAGTTTCAAACGCCCTCTGTACAGACTGTTTCGTCCTACTAAATGCACTTACAAACTACTTGTTTCCAGAACTAACCAATTATTGCATCACTATATTGCCTAAAGAACGCGTTACTTTATAAACAATAAAAAAGATTAGTCACATAGACGTGAAAGAAGACTAAGTATGAATAAATATATAGGTCTACCAGACTGAAATGTACAACGAATTTTAACATATATATACAAACACTGAGGTTCTAGCCGAGTCCCCATACTTTTTCTTTCCTCTCTGGTACTTATCTGCTCACCCTTCTATTTGCCTTGTAATGGAAGTTGCACAGATCTACGGTAGGACTGAAGTTGAACAAAACTTGAAGCCACTTATATATATACCATATCATCCCGTTGGCTCGTAATAACTCAACATCCTTGTAAGATCCCCTGCCACCATACCAGGACGATGTATAACATACCATACAAACAGTATCCAGTCTGCAAATGGCTTTCTACATGTTAACCGACTTACTCGTACGGAACACCATGTAGCAACAAGCATTTGAATTCCCTCCAACACATACTTAGGTATTTTGTTAATGTGAAGACTATATTTTTATATTTCCAAATGCGCTCCATTGAATGATTAGTTAACAGAATGCTCTCTCAAACCAAATACAAAAATTGCGCCAACCATGTTAATTCACCAAAACCCAAATTGATGTAGTTTAAACAATACTTATCCATTCCAGTACAACTGATGTGTTTGCACGTAGATAGGAATAAATACATTATTGGTTACAGGGTTTAATCATGAGCTGAAATCCTGTAACCAATCAAACAAATCTCTACAAACCCACACTTAAATACATTATTATTATACATGGGCCCTCTGACATTTGCATGACGTAAGGTGCAGCATGTAGACACAAGGGCTCAAACAGCCCGCTGTCGTGCGTGATTGTCCCGAAGTATATCTTACGCTGAGGGCAGATCGAGGGAATTGTCGAAGTCCCCACTGTCACCGTGAATGTGCTCTCACAGCATTTTGAAAAGGTATAGTCAGTTTTGAGGGCTGTGGCACTATACGCGACCATTCGGTTGCTGCCTGAATGCTACGAGGCTTTATGACTGCATTGGTGGCACAGTGTTAGAATGCTCGTCAACCACGCATATGGTCCAGGTTAGATCTCCGTCCGACGCACTCCTTTACCCCGCTGACCCATTAATAAGAGTGGTAGAGAGGAACGCTGGGCATGAGGCAAACAACACATCCCGTAGCAAACCAGTACCACTACTGCCAAAAATTCCAGACTCAAGTTCGAATCCCTGTGTTCCACTGGGTTACTCTCCATAAGTCCTCCCATCACTTCATCAAGGAATAATGCTGTTTCTACTGAGTCTCCCTCAAAGGCCATAAGGGCCAGTTCCTGCAGGCACCAAAGATATTCTTCCGTACTTTATCCGCTGGGTTAGACACAAGCGTGAATGGCGGCCGCTGCCCGAAGACATGGCTGTGCGGCGCGAATGCCCGACGCATGGACGTAAGAAGCACCTCTACTCCCATCTCCGCTGTGTCAATGCCAGGCAGCTAGAGGTGTTTCAGAGCTGGTATCGACAACAAGTAGATGATAGCAAATTTCTTTAATTTTCGCCAAACTGCTGAGTATATCGCCGAAAGTTTTATTCTCAGAATTTGGATGACTCCCCTTGGACAGACTTCTCTGGTGCGGGAAATTTTACTTTTGATCTGCTGTTTGACAACCATTCCTTTGTTTATGTGATCGTCAAAGTTGTTTGAAATGCTATTACCATATCTTGAACCATATCAGTAGAAAGTGTCGAGGTGTGCAGCATCCATGAGATTGATGACTTCTCTAATGACACTCCAGTGTATTCGTCTTGTTCATGTGGCCATGTGATGTCATCATATTCACGTTCTTTCTATCTTTTTTAATTTAAACGAGTTTTGCCGGCTCGTCATTTTCCATAATTGACAGCACAACGATATACCAAACACGCTGGGACAAAATATAAATGAAAAGTCGAACGCAGGTTAGGTTGAAGCATTTATAAGTAACAGCCGTCTCAAAAGAAGAAGGACACATGATTTATACACACAAAATAGCTAGGCTATCAATATTCAGCGGCTACCGGTTTTTTAACTAGCTTTTCAGGATTCGAAACACTACTGTTACATTGGTTTGATGAGGTGGTTGGTTGAGTCGACCTTAGTTGAGTGTGATTTCAGCAAGTTAGTTGGATTTTCAGCGTTGATCCTAACATTATCAGCTAATATAGTTAACAGTATATGACTGCAGAATAACGAGTAATGACGCTTCGCTGACAGTGTTAAACAGTGCATGATACTGTCTTCAAGCATACACATATTTATATCCAGAAGCGTCTCTTACCCTTTACACTTAGGTCTAAGACCTGTAAATAGTCTTCCATGGCCAACAATAGAATCGAGAATACGATTGGTTTTCCCATTTGTCAAAATCGTCAGATGCCCTGCAGGAATTGGAACAGTTCGGGGCACTTTCTGTAATAGGTCTGACGTAAGCCCTGATTTTCTGAAGCACACCAACAGTTAATGCTAGCTGGGTTAAGCCTCGGTTCAGGGTGGCACTTAAACGTACTTTCTGTACTTCCACACCACCTGGGCACTTCTGCTTCGAAAATAAATAGTTTTTTTACACTAAATATCCTGTGCATGCTGGAATTAAAATCGAATGAAGTTTGAAGTATATTTCTCAGGGTGCAGTTAAGAAACAACAATGAAATCGTAATGTTTACCATGTTGGTGATCCTTAGTGTAACTTGAATTAAACATCAGTCCCAAAATCTGATTAGTAGTGGTTGTTTGTTGTCCTGTTGTGTTCCTTTTGAAATACTCTGCATTTAGAATATTTAATGTGTATTATTCCGGTTCTCCACCTTAGTGATTGTAAATTAGGCATACACGCATGGAAATACCCACCTTGTAAAGGTACTAAACGGATATGGAGAGACTTGAACATGGATGCACATAGAATGAGCACGACTACTTTGGGTGTTTGCCATATTACTGGCTAAGTTCTGTCTGCAAAGTTTCCTCTTTGCGTGAACATTTGCGTGAACCCAGTAATGACGAATTTTATTGCATTGGGTGGCTTGTATATCGTTCATTTTTTGTTAGCTGCATCAAGATATGGGTTAAAACCAGTAAACTAAGTAAGCTATCTGATCAGTAAATATTTTCCTGGAAGGTATTTGTAAATGGATGAAAAAAATACGATCACTTGTGACTTTTCCAGACAAACCTTGCTGTTTATATATAAACATCAAATAACTACATGAAATTGTGCCCTACTTCAATGTTTGCAGTCTACTTTCACAGTGATTTAGATGTTGTTTTAACAGAAGTTCAATCGACTAGATTTGGATATAGAAATCCGGCCAGGAATAGTGCCTGTGGTATTTTAACAATCATGAATTGAGGTTTTCCTAGACATAAAGCACATTTCAGCACTAAAGTGAATTTTACTATACTGTAATTTGCTGACTTAAATTGAACTATTCAATGTCCAATTTCTTTACTGTACCTCCTTCTTTTAAAAGTAATTGTTGTAACCGCTTTGGCATATTTACAGAATGTTTTAAGTACGGCATTCGCGCCGTCATTTAAGACAGCATTGTTATTTGAATAACAGGTGTAATTCATCTGAATTTCAGACTTCAACCCACCCATTATATTTCTGTTTTTCTTTCATTCACAGATCTTGCCTTCCTTTATTTTAATCTGCTGACATGGGCATTGAGACAGCTCCTTATACTGTTACCAATTCTTGGAATGAAGAGGTGAGTTTGTTTTTACCTAACATTTTCTGTAGAATATTGAGTTACGTCACTATGATTCGCTGCAATGGGTTTGTACTGTGAGTAGTTGTAATTCAATGGACAAGGCAAAAAACGAATGCTTTTGGAAACTGTTCAAGTATATTGGTGGAAAAAATGCTGAAAGTTTGTAATTCTTATCAAGCGAATATTCTTTGCAGATGTTAAAGTGCCTATGACTGCTCCAGTTACTATCGAAAGCATGCCAGATAGTGAGTCTGTCATGAAAAGGCGCTTTGTAATGGGTTTCTACGTTCCTGAGGCCTTCAAGTCAAATCCACCCAGTCCTACTGACAACGAAGTGTTTATTGAGAGGAGACCGTCAATGAACGTCTACTGTCTGTAAGGTTCTTTTCGTTACTGACGTTGTTGTACTTTTCTAATAATTAAGTAATGGTTCTACTCACATTATGAAATTCTGGTACTAAGCTTGCTTACTGTTGCAACCTATTGTGTTTCTTCCCGCTAGCCAGTCCAATAAAGGAAAGAGTTGCGACATCCAGTTTCCAGATCAAGGAGAAACCGCCAACTGCTTCCTAATGAACACATGAGTTGATAGCAATCGCTCTAGCAAACTTGAGATTTGAATTATACCGTCTATTGGTAATCATGAAGGATTTCTAGGTGTCCACCTCATTACTCGTATCAACGAAATGTAAGGCAATAACACTACTTAAAGCGTCCGTACCCTTGAGACGTGTGTTCAGGTGTACCCTTCTTTCTGTCCTCCCAATGTAAATGCTGCCGCAGATACACATAAATTTGTGTACACAATTAGAGCTAACGTGAGAAAGGTGTCTGTCAATCTTTGATTGCATCTTGTTTCAAATACAGCGACCAAGTTGACTGCATGATACTTTCTGGACAGCGACGTTTTCCATATGTATTCTAGAAGCTTTTGTGTTTCCCAATGAATGAAAAACAAAACGATATCGTTCTCATTGTCGTTTCACTATTTAATGCCAATAGCTGTATCAAAGTCACATTATAATGATACAATATTTCTATGGGGGATTAATTGTATTCTATAAATGTCTTATAATTTGTGACGCTACAAGTACGTTCTGCTCTCATATAGCTGTTTATATCTACATCCTGTGTAAAAGGGTAACGTAATACAGTAGTAAGTTGTATTTTTCTTCAGCAACATGTACACTAAATCTCTCGTGATGAATGGGAGTATCTTACTAAAATTCCAGTCGGCACAGTAACTAAAGGCTTGATTCCCAAACGGTATATTTGAAAAATCTTTGTGATAAACTCATTTTTTCCTGAATTCACGGTATCTCTCTGAGTGTTCGTATTCGAGTAACTGATAGGATTTGTTCTTTCCTCCCATTTTTCTTGCTGCGCTTCATTGTATTGTCATCTAATTTAGAAGTTTACTCTCCAAACAAATTACTTCATTTAAATTACCGAACATAAAATAAATGCTGTACTAGTAAACTTTTGTTCATTTTCGCTGATTTACAAACCCATGTCTACTGTCTGCTTCTACGGTACCGTCAGACGTTAGGTGTATAAATGATGAATTGCTACAAAGCGTTATGAGAGAAGAATTGCAACTCAGCCAGTGATGGCTGCATAATACATTACACATCCCAAACGACACTATCAAGGCATCAGTACTTATGAAGAAGGATAAAAGAGACTGGTTTAAAAATGGCACAACTTTTCCTATCGTCTATTTTAGGGTGGATAAGCTGTAAATGAATCAGTAACCTCAAGCCAAATACGTAAAATATACAGCCACCTCTAAAATATAAGCACTCTATTTCTAGGCCTCCGGGGTGGGGGGCACTATTAATTAAACAAAGTATGGGATTTGAAACAGAAGATTTCTAGCTCAGGTGGATGATTTTGAATTAGTTGTTCTCCGAGCTAGTTGATTTAATTGCTAAGCTTTAGTCGTCTTTCTGGATAACATCTTCAGCGCAGGTTTTAGTGTAAAATGATCTCTCTCCTGGCAACCATCTTCGTGACTGGTAATTGATTTGCATTTTTATTGACTTAGAATTTGAACTTTCGTGTCACATGATTTACTTTGTACTAGCTGGTAAATTTGATCTATGTTAATATGTTTGTTAGTCGCTGATTCACTTGACTACCAGGCTTCTAGATTTTCTCTATTTAAAATTTCGACATTATCCCAATCAAATGGCTGTCCGTAATTATCCACATGCATTGATATGAAAGAATGCATATCATGCCAATTAGGAGTTGCAGGGGTGCCCACTGTGACTGATGTAATGTCTGTTACAGTTCATACGATTTATTTTGTAAATGGTGTTAATTTTATCTTCTTTTCCTTTTGGATCTTTCGGTTTGCACAATATCGAATGGAGTGATTTTGCTAGCTGGTTGGCTTGTGTGCTGTATCTATTACGAATGGTTTTAATATTCTAGCTGTTATTTCAGGATGAATTTTCTCATGGTCTATACTGATAGTTTCTTGCTGATGTCATGACTCGAGTTTAAACACTTTTTGATGAAATTACGAGGATATCTTTTGTTTTTGAAGAACTTTAGTGGGTATTTTTCCTCCATTCTTTTCAACACCGGCGTACCACAGTGTGTTCGAACTCTTTTAAACAATGTCTGCACACAGTTTCTTCTGTGAGCAATTGAGTTGTTACTACTACAGTTGAGTTTTTAGTCTGTGTGCGTTGATTTTCTGTATACTTGTGTTTCTTAATTTCCTGTGGTAGTTCTCTTGATTAAGACATCTGAGAATAGAATTATGTTGTCTAATTCTTCTCCTCTTGTGAATCTGATGTCTTCAAATATGTCGTTGTAGAGAATTTTTAGAAACCTGTTACTCAAGTGAATCAGCGACTAACAAACATTTTAACATAGATCAAACTTACCAGCTATAGTACGAAGTAAATCACGTGACAAAAATGTCCAAATTCCAAGTCAATAAAAATGACCAACAAAGATGTGAATCAACTACCAGTCACGACAATGGTTACCAGGGGACACAATTATATCATTCGTGGGGAGTTCAAATGAGTTCATTTTATGCTAAAACCTGCGCTGAAGATGTTGTCCAGAAAGACGACGAAATCTTCGCAATTAAATCAACCAGCTCAGAGAACACAATTCATTCAAAGTAGGGAACTGGAAATTTTCAACATTTCTATACCTTTTCATGCACTTAATTATAATCTGTACGCATTGTATGATGGATGGTAATACCATTTTTTAGGGGGTACAGAATTCGAAGTTTTCTATCCTGTAGCTAAGCTGGGTATGTATTCGTTAATACGAATGAATTATTTTTTCAACCTATGGCGTGTCGTGTATGATGTTGGTTCAGTGGTAAAAATCGGCTAGGTTGGATACCTAGCTGATGCAGTCCGGAACCTCACTTAACCGATAGTAAGTCTGGTAAAGAGGGAAGGTTGGGCTTGAGACTCGAAACATCATCCCACCTGTAGAGAACATCACTGTTACTGAAACTTCAAAACTGAAGCTTAAAGTCCTATGTCCCTTTCTGACCCCACAGGAATAAAAAAGCAGTATACTTATACTTAGGTAGGCAAAGATAACCTCCCAGCTTGTACTATATATATTATACACTTGAATTACTTTATTGTTTTTGATATTCGACGATGCATGGTAGTGAATACTAATTCACTTGTTGATTGTTCACGAAACAGACGACAGGAGTTCCTGCTTGGTCTAAAGTTTTCAGTGTTTTGGAGTTATGTTGAAATATTGGCATCCAACCATTGAATCATAGGTTCTAAGACAGTCCTGTTAATTGTTGTGTTCCGAATGTATGCTTCAATTTTTGAGACTGGATGCACCTACACAGGTAAGTAATGGACTCAAACTCTCGACTAACTACAATCAGCAACCATAAAAAAAACACTAACTTAGAATACCATTCGAATCCGGGGAAGAAAAGAGGAGACACCTGTTCGCTAGAAGAGAAGTTTAAGCGTCTCAGCAGTAGACGAACTAGAAGTCAACAATTCATTATGACTCATATGAACTGTGATCAAGATTTGACCGGATAGTTGCAAAATAATTGAGCGCTGAGTGAGAAGTAGACATTTATAAAATTATATTTGTAAAGTCAGCGAAATTGAAATGATTAATTCCAACGTTTCGTTCAGCAATCTGGTCCGAAAAGCGGTTATTCCTTACCTCAAAGAAACATCCGATGAAATAAAGCGATTCCTTAACGACCATAACATAAGAGTGTATTTTCGGGCATCAAACACCTTAAGCTCATTACTGGTGAAGGTTAAGGATAAAATAGAACAAGAAAACCAGCAGAATTGCGTATACCATACCAATTGTGGGGATTGTAACGCCGTAATATGTAGGAGAAACTTCCAGACAGGTAAATGTAAGAGTGAAAGAGCATAAACAATGTCTAAAGGTGGTTCCAAAGACCTCTGTAGACTTGAAGAAGCTAGAAAACAACTCAGCGATTGCACTGCATTCGATAGAAACGGGATACAAAATCGACTTTGATAAGACTAAGGTTTTACAGAAAGGTTTTGGTTCATATAAAGAAAGACTGACTGCACATATATAGGTGAATCCCAACAGTATGAACAGACGTGAAGGTGTGATCTTAGCTGATGCATGGCAAATCCTGACTAATAAATAAATTGGATATGTATCAACACCTAGTCACACTTGGTCAAATTCCCGATTGTCTACGTCTTCTTATGGAGAGAATAACAAATTTATAAAATTATATTATATTTGTAAAAAAATCTCAATTATTTTGTAACTATCCGGTCAAATCTTGATCACAGCTCATATGAGAATAACAAATGTTTTATGACTGTTCACCCACACACACACACCATTGTATACTGCATATACGCATATATTTTAACAAAAGTAGACTAATTTTGAAAGTTTGAGGTCAAATTTTGACCACAGTTCATAGAAAATTTTTGTTTTGTTTATTATACCTATTGATAGCTGTTTCTTGATTCATATGACAGGACAAACAATTTAAAACAAGAGATGTACTTTTATTTATAAACATACAATTTTATTGATTTATTATACATGTTGATGCCTGTTGCATGGCTCATGATTGGACAAGGTTTAAAACAAGAGTTGTTCCTTGTATATATAAACCTCTGTTATGTTATTTAATTGAATTTTAGATTTTTCCCGTCGATTGATTGGACCGAAGTGCTCGGTCCCAGGTTTTTTTTATTACAGCTTGATGCCACACCGTACTTTCAGTACAAGTATGACATTTTCAGCATGGATATCGGTAGCCCAAATTTTGCAGGCCGACCATAGATATCGGGTGTGCGTCGGCAGAGGATCGAACCCCGGACCATGTTCATGGTCAGCGAGAGTCCTAACTACTGTGCCACCGACGCACATGTCGGCTTCTTGAGCAGATGCTTCGACGATGTCTGGGCACTTAATTAGTATTTAACTGGTGGAGGTGGCTCTCGTGGCCCTAGTGGATAACGCCTTGGCGTTGGAAACTATGGGCACTGGGTTCGAGCCTCGGTGGGAACATCATCACTCACTGAGAAATGCAGGTACATCCAGTGACGAGTCACAAATAGGACGAAATGCGCACTCTGGATTCCACTGCTAATCACCATCCACCAATTAAATACTCTGTTATGTTAATTTCGATTAATTTCCCTGAAGAAGTTCGGACCAGATTGCCGAGCGAAACCTTGGAATTCATCATTTCAATTTTTCTGAGATTTTACAAATATAATTTTATAAATTCATTATGACCCTTTTCAACAAAATTAATAATTGATAAATATGAAAAGTTAATAAACATGGGTTAGATTGCTTGTCAACTCCGCTGGACACATAGGTATCGCTTGCTGTGTTCAAGTCGTTCGAAAGAAACCAAGATGTCAATCTTCCTCATCACAGGGAGAGACAAATGTTACCAGTCCTTATTTTGCTTACGTGGAATTTATTTATTTGAAATTTGAATCACAAACTGACATAAGTTAATGAACCAAGAATTATGGCTGTTTCGTTCTGCTTTGATTCCCTTCAGTAGTATATATAGTCGTAACCTTGCCGGGGAATCGGACCCAAGGCCAATAGGTTACAAGGCAAGTGTATTGACTAATCATCCACTGGAATGGAATCCAGTGATGCATGAATTCTAACTTCTGGTAATTTGTAACATATAACGCCACTGCCATCCAATGATATATTGGCAAGTATTTTTCCAATCCAGGGTACAGTACAGGTAAAGATGCGAAACATCGTAATAAATCTAAGCATAGTCATTAGATGGTATTATCTTTGTGAGGAGCGTTAGTGAGATGCATACTTATTTCTGTAAATAGTCAGGGATTACAGATGTGTACTACTAGACACATTCTTGACTGTCTTCAGGCTGTTATGCAAACTAAGGGGAAATCCTTAACTTTGTTAAAATCTATGTAAGTTTGAATATAGTATAGTATTGTGATATTGGTACTTTTGAGTTAGTTTTCTAAGCACCAAGGTGTTGATATAATTATGATGAATAAATTGTCCTCGAAACATCATCAGTAAGTAATAATGTTGTATCACTGTGTGATTTCATTAAATAAATTTTCTCTGTGATTGATTAATGCTCTGTCACAGTGCTCGCTTGCTGACTAGTTACTTGGGCTGGGTCAAATCAAGTACACCAGTGTTAATGAGCTCACTTCAAAACTAGTGAAATAGCTATCGGGTGTTCTTCTATCTGGTTAATAAGCACTGCTGGTTAATGTGAATGGTGTCCAATTATTCATATCAATGGGATCAGTAGTTTATAGTATCAAGGAGATCACGTATTATTGTGATCTGAATAATTTTGATTTCCAAAGGAGATTGTAATTGCGAAACAATCACTTCGAATTGCGTGCAAATCACTAATTTATTTTATTCTTTTGCTTTCCAAGTGGAACATCAGAGGGCTTTAAGGTTTCAGCAGTAGTGGTGTTTTTTTATGAAGTAGGGTGGTTTCTAGCCTCACGCCCAACCTCCTCTCTCTGTCGGGATTATAACCGGCTAAAGGGGCGGGGGTTCACAGGTCGGGAGTCGAACCCCGGACCTCATGCATGTCTGACCAGCACTCTACCGTTGAACCATCGACTCACATTTTTTTTTTTATTTCTACATAAGTTAATTATACCATTGTTATTTATTTTTATTTACCGATTTTTCCCCTTCTTCTTCTTCTTCTTTTTACATCAAAAGTACCTATTCTGGATTTTCAGACAATGATAAAGTGTTAAAAAATGCTCGTAAATTAGGCGATACATTAGATCGACTTGGTTTAAAGTATACACCAGATCCATTCTATTTTGCTGGTTATGATTCACCATTTAAACTCATTAATCGTCGTAATGAAATATGGTTTAAAGCTGATTGAATCCACACACACACACACACACATGCACACACCTACCTACAAATTCTGTCTCGCTTTCTCGTCGTCTGTTTGAGTGCATACATTAGTCACTTCATTGAATTGAATTATATATTTCTTTATTGTATTCTTTTTTTTTTTACTTATTTCCGAACTTTAGCTCTCAGGGAAATATTAGTTTTTTTTAATGATATTATTATATTTTATATTTTTTTTTGTTAAACCTTTTGGTAAAGTCAGAATAAAGTACTCGAAAATAGTAATAATTAATAATAATAATAATATATCTCATGATCTCTTCACACTTATATCATATGAATACAATGACTGAATTTTATTTTACTTTTTTCTTGAATGAAATATCCTATCAAATGATTTTTATTATTATTATTATTATATACATACGTTCGCTATAATATTGTGTCATTTGATTTGTAGTCCCTTTTATCACATGAATAACACACTTTAGATGATGCACTTTTTTAGAAAAAATTTTTTATCAGTATTATTGTCAGTGTAACTATACTGAAGTCCGTTTATGTACGAGTTGTACTCACCCCCCAGTCAAAATGAGCAAATCATGAATATTCGTATGAGTATTTCTTCTTCTTCTTCTTCAGTCTATTCTATCCAACTATTCACATTTATTTGTTCTGACTTCATTAGTGTGTTATTATAATTTGTTTGCCTTAATAATATCATATCATATCTAAAAGAAAATGAATTTGCGACAAATTATAATATTCACAATGTTTATACTTATTCATATTATTTTTGTACACTATGTTGTTAAAAGCAGCTTGAAATTGACAGAGGCCTGTTTTCGCTTACTATCTATCTCAGATATATACAAAAAACTGATCACTGATTTAATGGGATGAATAAATAAATTCTTTTCCCTTCTAAATTGAATTGATGTTTTGATTTTCCAGTTATAACATGACTGTGATGCATAACAGTAGTTTGTTTTTGTGCTTGCATGTTTGTGTGAATGATGGACAGGTAAAAAAAAAGGTAGAAAGAGAATATAAGTGGAAGTGGAATCGCTCTTGTAGACTATTGAATCGCCACATACCATACCCTTTCCGAGTTGAGGATATACGATGGCACTGTGTATATTCAACTGTTACTACCTGCGTATAATAGTTTGCATCCGGTGGTATCCTCATGGCAGTAATTCTGAAGTCCGTGGACGTGTGTTTAGACACTCAGGAAAATCGTCTTTCAATAAGTGTTGTTGTGTTGTTGAAACGCTGGATTCGGTGGTTTGGATGTTTACTATCTATGAATGTCATCCTAGCGGTTTGCGTACCGTCTATTATTTACTAGCCCTAGGACTCTGTGGAAGTGATTTAGCACTATGGGATGAAGGGTAGTTGCGTTAGGTCAGCATCGGTTAGTGCATCACAATCCCCTAGAGTTGTGGTGAGAGCTGGCTGCTTGCCAAAGTTGGTAGACAGTAATTGACGTCACTGTTTATTTCCCCAATATTGATGGTGAGAAAATGAGAATAAAGGCTTTGAGTAGGCGGATACAGTTAGCATATGGATGATCTGACACAGCCACAAAGAGATGCAAGGTTAACTTTCTGTGAGAAACAACCAGTCAAAAGACTGTATTTTCTACTAACAATAATCTACATTAAAATCTATAAATATGTGTTGATTTTCCTTAATAAATGATCTGTTGCCTGGCCCTTGTCTTCTGTTAATACAGAGTGACGTCTGAGAGGTAATGTGAACCACTGGTGAACATGCTGCAATTTTCCCCTTCCCTGTCTTTTTAAAAATAGTATGAAATGATGAAAGTTCCTTAAATAATCTTAATTAGTATGCTCACTTATCTTTTCAGATCCTCTCCCTCATTTATTCCGTTTCCTTTCCAGATAATTTATTTCAATATTCTTTCTGTGTGGCGCATTCCTTAGAGTCACGATTATTGAGTTCGAAAACACCCTATCCTAAATGGTAAATTAAGTACGTTGCAGGAATTCTTTTTCACTATTATACATCTTAGTGTACAGAAGTATACAAAGACACATAGCGAAAGAGTAAGTATTTCTTTGCTTAGATCGTAACTGTATGTGGTTCTCTCCACTTCTCTAAGCTTATTAGGAGTGGCGAAATTACATTCCGTAAATATTTTTTCGTTTTAACCAGCTTCTTACCATGATTGAATTATGTTCAGTTTCTATTTGATTCTGGTTAATACTTATTGTTCTCGGCAATTTCATTATATTCTAAGATGTATTAATATGTGCTATTCGACGTTACGTCATTCACTGTCAATATCAGAGCACTAAACGTATCATATTGAAGAAGAAGAAGTAAGATTTTCAGGGATAAAAATTACAATTTAGGGATGACTGTAATAGCTGAGAAAAACGTGTGGTGGTTGTTCAGTGGTGAACTACATGCCAGCGACATGGAAGATTCCTGGTTGAAGCACTCTTAGTCCTCACCTGGCTGGCAGTAAGCTCTGAAAGCAGAGAAGATTAGGCTAATATTACCACCGCCACAGAAACTTGAAGCTATATGTTCCACTCGCGAATCAAGAAATGAAAACAAAACCAAAAAAAGAAAACAGTTCCTTCTTTGAGTACCAACTTAGCACGCAGGTGACGTGTTCGTCAAAACAAAAAGAATTTGCAGCTTATCTTTTCTTTTTCTTGCTGCTTTGACAATTAGAATTAATCAGTTCTTATTTATTGCAAAATTGAATAAGTAATGAAGGCCGATTACTAACTAATTAAGAATGTAACGGCTTTATTTTTAACGAACGAGAAGTCGTTTTCGGTGAATTCATGAGTTGCTCACTAGTGACTGACCCTATTCAGGTAGGTAGTTGCCTGGAGTTATAGTGGGAAGTCGTGACCAGTAGAGTACAGAAGGTCGGGTTGGAGGACAAATACTTGATGAAGACATTGGCTAGTGGTTGCGCTATGTCATGAATTAGCAGAAGTTGGAATTCATGGGCCATTGGATCGGATCCCAGTGGCTTGATGGTCTACGAGCTAGCTCTCCTTGTAGCCAGAAGGTCCTGGATTCGAACCCCAGTGGGTGCGTACTGATGAAGAGTCCAAAACTAGGCCGACAAAACAGCTGTCAATTACTTCCCAGGTTTTCCAATGGTTCTCTAACTGATGTCATCTCATGATGAAATCCAGTAACCAGTCGATCAAATCTCTATAAACCAATACTTGAGGATTCATTTTTCTTTAGCTGTAAACTCGCATTTGTAGGCGATTTCATGTTTTCACAAATGAGGGAGGCTAGTAACAAAAATACATGAGAGAAATTGAATACGAGGAATAGATTTACGTAATGAGATAAATAACTTAATGAATGGATTGTAATCAGAATGCACACCGAAACGAGACAAAATGTGATACTAAGTAAGAGTTAAAAAGCCATTAAACAGTTTAAAATGACAGTTGTACTAATAACTTGGTTGAAAACAACAAGGTCATTACTATGATGATGGGAGTGGTTGTCTTTTGTATGAGGAACTCTAGTTTCTCCGTCTGGATGACTAGAACTTCAACAATGTAAAGAAGGCAAAGTCATATGGTTTTTGGCAGGTCACTGTTCACTGTGACAAAGTTTATTGAGGTGGAATGACCAGTGTCGACGTTATTATCATTATTGTTACCTCGGGCTTCAGCCAGACGTCTCCATTGCGTTCGGTTCTCTGCTAATGTTTTCACCTGGCTCCAAGTGTGCCCACACGATTTCATCTCCTCTTCACATGACCTCCTCCAAGTCACCCTTGGACGACCAACTCACCGCTTCCCTTTCGGGTTCCACTCGAGTGCTTGTCTAGTTATCTCACTTGATGGTGACATGGTATTCCATTATTATTCCACTCCTTATATAGAGTCACTGCAGCCATGAGGTATAGTTGTTCGTGAAACCTTTTAAACAAGATACTCGACGAATGATCAATATACCTGGTTCCATAAGAGTAGGTGAAATGACAAATGGACACACATAGCAGTGGTCATATATTTTCCAGGCTTGTGCAGACCAGTGGACAACTGGAGAACACTAGTCTTAGAGTTGCTGCGAAGAATGTTCTAAAAGATGATTAAATCTTTCTCTTTAGGTCATCATAGGTTAAGTCCTCCTTAAATTCAAGATTCTTGCAAAGCTTTTTGGCAAGAATGATGTCTCACATCGCTGAATTTTCGGTTTGATGTTTATCACAATTGCATGTCTTCCTAACCATTATTAGCTTCCAATATGAAGTTTACATGGCTGTACACTTCACTGCAATTTAATATTGAGTAGTACGAATAATGATGAAATGAGCTGGTAGGAATAGTGAGTACTTTTCAAACTGACATATATGCATGTCCATATAAATGGACGATATGAATAGTTAAAACAAAATTCAAATAACATTAATGGATGTATCACAGTGTAGCCAATTCTTGTATTCAAATTTTGTTAAGCTGAAATTTTGGTCGCTGAGATTAGCGTTTTCTAGTCAGCAATCACTGTTCAACAACCTGGAGGACGAGGTGTCTCAGTTAACCAACGAAGAGGTAAAAGTGGTATTATAAGGAGCGCAATAATTGAACACTTGGTCACCTCATTTCTACTGCCTCTTCATTTGTAGTTAAAGGCGAAAAATAACCTGTCCAAATCATCGAAAAACGAGACCGTTGTTTTGGTTTCCTAGATGTTTTAGAGGGAATTTCCCACAAATTAGACCATATATCCCAAACTAATTATAATTATTGGTTACAGGATTTCATCATGAGCTGACATCAGTTGGAGAACCACTAGAAAACCTGGGAGTACTGGACAGTTGCTTCGTCCTAGTTCGAGACTCTTCATCGGTACGCACCCACTGGGGTTCAAATGCAGGACCTTCTGGTTACAAGCTGAGCTAGCTCGTAAACCATTAAGTCACTGGGACCCAACCTAATGGCCCATGAATTCTAACTTCTGCCAATTCACTACATAGCGCGACCCCTAGCCAATGTCTTCGGCCAGTATTTGTCCTCCAACCCGACCTTCTGTACCCTACTGGTCACAACTTCTCACTAGAACCCCAGGTTCTACCTACCTACCTACCTGTCCAGTACTCTCAGGTTTTTCAATGGTTCTCTAACCAATGTCAGCTCATGACGAAATCCTGTAACCAATCAACCAAATCCCTACAAGCCAATACTTGAATATTAATTATTATTATATTTCGACAGTTTATACACAACGATAAGTTTTTTTTATTTTAGTAGTATGTCGCGCAAAATTACTGCCCATGATCAAATCAACTTTTGGAATATATCCTAAATGTCAAGGTGGAAACCCAATAGTATTCCATATCAATTCTGTTAATGACGACCTCATAATCTTAAGAATGTCTTTCAGATACTCATCGATGACAAGATGAAAAAACGTAGCAAGGTACAAGCTTACTTGGATTGTTGCTCATGAATGTTTTTAACAGAGTTTTTAGGACACTAGTTATTCGACTTGTACTCCCCAGAAAATTCAACAGTGTGTATATCAATCAAGGGTTTATAGACGAATAAATGCAAGTCTACAGAATTTTTGTGTACACGCTGAGGACAGAAAAATTCCCTGGGTTTCAGTTGCGTTTTCTTTTGTAGATTACATTGCAGTTATCTTTACAAACAAAAATATTCAAACTATGGGCAGTGACCAGTAGGATGTCAAGAGTGGAGATGAGAAGCACAAGTAGACAAGCGACCCTGTAAATCCCTACTTATTAATGGAAATAAGTAGTTTGATATCACTGTTGTTTGCCTGACCTTAGGAAAATGTGATAAACTGCTGTTTCTACTCATTTGTTGTCCAGTGAACCGAAAGGGTACGCAAAACGAAAAAAGAAATGGGTGAATCTAATTTGTATACTATGCTTTATGCGTTTAAGTGTTAACTTCAACAGCTAGATTATGTAATTCATTCACTTAATAAGGCTTACATTCATCTCTGCCTCACACTATGCAGAAGGTATGTCTGTCTGTTTTCAACATAGAACTTTCCACCGATGTGCGGCAGTTCAAGTCACCACACTCCATGTAGCACAAAGCAAGAGAAGAAATGCATAATAGAGACAGTAAACAGGGATATGGGACAAAAGGAATGGTTATAACGAAGAACAATATAGTTTCATTGGAAATTATAAGTCACAAGGAGTGGATGTATCTGCGCCATCCATTGAGAACGAATTTGAGCCATATTACCTATTGCTTCCAGCCATTGGTTTTTACCGTCCTGAGGACACCAACCAGGAAGTCTACACCTTCCTAAGTGGCTTAGACTAACTGTTGTAGATTTCATTGACTGGTGAAACCATGTTTTGGTTTGACCGCCTCTAGTTCTTTCCCAGCCTGACCCTATATCAACTAACATTGCCCGTCGAGGAAGGCGATGACTAGGCATACGTAACACATGTCCTAACCATCTCAGTCGATGTAACTTCACAACCTCGTCGATTGATTTCCCCTCCTCACCTAGCACTCGACGCCTAACCGAAATATTACTCACCCTATTATACGACTTCACATGGGAGATACAACGCAGGTACCTATGATCGAAGACAGCTAGCCGCTCTTTTCATGTCTTCCACTCTCAATAGCCAGGTCTCACAGCCATAAAGGAGAACGGACCGAACTGCTGAGCAGTACACACGCCCTTTGGTCGATAGTCGGATATCACGTCTACGACAGAGACGGCGTAAACTGGCACATGCGAAACAAGCTTTCCGTATCCGTGCTGAGATTTCGTCAGCGATCAACCTGTTGGCTGTAGCTGATGCAACCTCCCAAATAAGTGGAGCGGTCAAAACGCTCTACCACCTGACTCCCTATTTCTAAGCTAGGAGTCAGTGTAGTCCAGTCCTGTAACATCATCTTACATTTGGCGGGAGCTAATCGCATGCCAAACATTCAAAGATTACTACCTCTTAAGGTGTTCAGAAGACTCTACATTTGTTAGCCTTCACCGAGAAGGACTATATCATCTGCATATTCTAAGTCAACGAGACTATTATACCTTGGTAACAAGTCAAGCCCTGAGTCGCTGAAGTCACTTAGGGTTAAGTCCATTAGTACATCTATGATGAAACTGAATAGAAATGGAGATACTAGGCATCCCTGATGGACACCATTGGTTGTGACCACTTCAGATGAAAACTCGCCGTAAGCTCTCACCTGGCTAGCTGCATGAATCCGAGTAGAGTGCCTTGATCAGTGCAATGTATTTTCTCGGCATTCCCTTTACAGCCAAGCATCGCCAAAGGTTAAAGTAAACGGCTTCAGAGGGGAAATGACCTCATTGTATGTTTGTGAACTTTTTATGACCTCGTGATATCGCTTCATCAGGACATCCAATGCAGCCCGGAAATTCAAGGTAGATCTTCTTATGAACTGAAACTAGTTACAGAGGCATTTAAAGCCGAGAAAGATCCTCCAATGATACTGAACAGATAGCCTAAAATAAGTTGCTATCCAGTCACTGTTGTAATGCATTGATCCAATTTACATCCACTTGGATTATGACTCCACCATTATTCAACATTACCAGCAAGTTCTGTTACTTTTTTCACTCAACTAGTCACATCTTTCCCCTAGAGCTTCGAAAAGTTCATAGTGGATTAATAAGAGATTATGGTCCGTCAATTTTAGTGATGATGATGATTGCAGTATAATGAAGAATCGATAGAAGCTACAAATGATTAGTCACACCTGATCCATAAGCCCCTTAGTCCTTTGTAACATGACATAAGTTATCTTCTTTCTCCACACACACCCCGTAAGACACCACGGTTTCTCATCGTTATTTAATCTTTGTCAAGATGACATAAAATTTAGACTCCTTAACCAAACTTAACAAAATACTGTATATGATGGAGAAGATTTGTAGCTCAGGTGGATGATTTTGATGTGGTTATGTTTTCTGAGCTGGACAGTTAATTTGCGAAGCTTTCTTTTTAGAAGCTTGGCACTCCAGTGAATCATCAATCAACAGACACATAGAGATTGACAAAATTTATCAACCGATAAGAAAGAACCTCACACACATAGGGTCAAAGTTCAAGTCAAAGAAACAATTAATTCCAATACAAGTAGCCTAGGTGTGAAAACACACAAAAACAACCAATCACGTCCAAGGTCACCCAGTGGGAGAGATGATTAATAAACTCGTGCAGAAATCTAAAAGCTCACTTCAAATTGAAGTATGCGCTGAAGATGTCACCTAGTTAGGTGATGAAAGCTTCGCAAATTAACTATCCAGCTCAGAGAACACAACCACATCAAAATACTGGATTTTTGTTTATTTCATTGTAAATACTACCTCTACTGTTATAAAATCCCAAGGTATAAAAATTAACTCTTGTTGCTTAGCTACACACAAAACGAAAATCAATACTATTCACGTGACATTCTCCTAGATAATAATGTGTTCTCACAAAATTTAAACAAAAAAAAAAAAACATTAGAAAATAGAAATGAGTTAGTTGTAAGGAAAGAAGTCACATACAGTAGAATTTATACCAGTTTATTTTCTCTGGCTCTCTCTCTCTCTCTTTCTTTACAATATTTACAAAAAAGAACACCTTGTGTTATTTTATAATAAATACACACAGGCAACAGATGATACAAAACTACAACATACGTTTTTTCAACAACAAGAAGACAAAAAAGAATATCTGGAAAATGGCTTAAAAGTACATCCTGATCACAAGTGAGTATACTACTGTATGATAATGTATTGAGAAGATTCCACATATTAACGGTACATTGTGAAACAGAAATACTATGGGTGAGAAGGAGTGAATACAATGCGTACTTTTCATGCATGTATGTATGTACTTGAACAGTATACAAAAAAGGTTAACGAGAGTTATTAGTACACAAATGAATTTCATTGTAACATATAAAAAAATCAAGCTTCTCTCCTATCATTATCAATACTGATAACAATGGAGGACGTGGCACCATGATCATTTCATCATCAGATGGTGATGACATTGTCAACTCAAAACAACACTAAAAAAACACCTATGCTAGGCAGGAAAGAGGCATAACCACTCACAGAAGGCAGTAGGATGAAATATTACAGGGAAAGGTGAAAGAAAGCATAACACAACAAACAACTCATATAAGGCGTAGGATGGTGTACTTCAATCAACCTAATATCATTTCAAATTACTAAAACAAAAGTAAAAATTACAACAAGAGAAAGACAGGATTGAGGGAAGAACAAACAGATATCTGTAACATTTGCACAGATTTACTATTTATCACAATGTTAGAGGCGATGTAATCAACCTTGCGACTTTTGACAAGAACTCGAGAATTTAAAGATACACACTTGAAGAAGAAGAAGATGGGGAGGGGGAGGACGCGGAGGACATCAACAATGATGATGATGATGAAGATGAAGAAGGCGACGATGATGATGACAGTGATGGAGTATAAACAACACCAGACGGTGAAGAATACAATAAAGGAATAGATTGTGATGAAAAGTATTGTGTCGGTTGTTGTTGGTGGTGGTGATGACGATTTGTATTCAAATGAAGAATTGAAGAAATATCATCACAAAGATTACGTAATAGTCTAGATAATTTATATACTATTGTATATCCTGATTGTGTTATAACTTGAACTATCCATCTTAATTGATACACTGTTGAATGTTCATTGAAGAAATTATCCATGAAGCTTGAAAGAGAACTTCTATCATGAAGATTACGACAACGGCAACACAAAAAGAAATGTGACTTATTAAGGATTAAGCAATAAAAGTGCAACATTTATTAATGAGTACATATAACATTTGATCTTTATTTTTTAATGCTTATCTAATCATTACGTGCTGTACAAACGTCTCAGAAGTATACAATCTAATAAGATTACTACATATAATTGTGTGGTATAGTACAACTGATTATTTGATATTTATCATGTTAAGCTATGCAAATCAATACGACACGCATTTAGCGCCATTAAAAAAAAAGACTACTGACTGATCTTCAGTTGATGTTACTTCTTTTTTTTTGAATTTCTTTGCATTCCGTATGGATCATAAGGCTCTAGGCTTGAAGATTCAGTAGCTGTGGTGTTGTCAGCCTCACGCCCAAACTTCCTTCTTCCACAGATTTACTATCAACTATAAAGCCGGGGAACATCTAGGAGGATTGTGTCGGCCGGGAATCGAACTCTGAGCAACACCACGCATGATTGACTAGCATCTCGCCACTGGACTACCGCAGTTAGGTGGGGCGAGAGAGAGAGAGAGAGGTTAATCACTTAGCTCCTCTGTCTGTCTAATCAATACCAAACACGCGCAATCAAAATGATGCAAGACCAGCGGAACATACGGCTTCAAACTATCGGCTTGAAGTTTCGATGGCTGCGGTATTTATTTTTACGGGATGGGGTTGCTAGCCTCATGCCCAACCTTCCCTCTTTACAAGTTTTATTACTGACTTAGCGAGGCAAAGAAGTGCGTCGGGCGGACCACCTGCGTGGCTGGCAACCATTCTACTGCTGTGTCACCAACGCTTGGCATCAGTACTCTTATGCTCTGCGAAGGATGAAAAATGATGGCATATTCGATCGATATCTTCATATATTCCACCACAAATTGACTAAATGAAATCCCGAAGATGGGACATTCCCTCATGTATATGTATGCTTCGCTTGACCTTCACAGGTCAGAAAACTCATCAAATATAGATAGCATATATAAAAGGGTCTCTGCCGGAAAAGCAGATGAAGTCATCAATAACCTGTAAAACTCTCAAAATTCAAGTCAAATTTCAATCTGATCAACAACAAAAATATCGAAAAACAGAATTGTACTACTCACTAATAAAAAGTAATATTTTACAAGAAATAATAATTTTTGAAAGGAAAAAATCAAGCTAATCAAGTAAGGATACGTTGATTTGACATCCAGATATCCTCCATTCGTATGCAGAACATATGTACACCCATCAGCAGGCTTGCCATCAATTGTATAACAGCCAGGACGTGTATGCAGACAGATGAAACCGCGTTTTTCATAGAAACGTCTTGCAGGTAAATTACTGTGTAATACATGCAGATAGACAGCTTGTACAGGAGATACAGGTGGTAAGTGTATGATTAATTCATACAAGGATTGATAGTCTTTAATATACCATGGCACAGGCACAGTTGTTCTGTTATTTGTATGTGTAATCTAAATATACATAAGGATAAATATGTTTTGAATGAATAAGATTATAAAATAAAATTTGAATTTATAGCTTCTTGTACTGATACATATCTCAAATGAATCTGTATTTTGTAAAATCCACGAGAATTCTTTCTACTAAAAAGTCGAATACTAGCTAACGTTCATCTATCATAAAATACAGCGTAGTCAGAAATTCTATAATTCCATCGTAAAATCATTTCTTTTTATTTGATAAAAGGCACACTGGTACAGGTATTATTTACTGATGATGACGCTTTGCGCACAGTCTACCGCTTAACAGAAGAACTCAATAAATACAGCGGATGCACTAAAACACAGAAATACAACAGCCGCCTGAGACAAAGTCACAGTTCTTAAGAGTTATACAGGTATGTGGAAGGAGATTATTATTATTATTGTTCCCTTGGGTTCTTAGTGGAACATAGGGCTTCAACTGCACGTCTCCACTTGCTTCTGTCTTCTGCTGTACTTTTCACCTGCATCCATGTTAGTCCATGCTGTTTCGACTCCTCGTCACACGATCTCCTCCATGTCACCCTTGGACGTCCCACTCACCGCTTCCCTTTCGGGTTCCACTCGAGCACTGGCCTGACGCGCGATGTCACCCAGAGGCCTCCTCAGCAAATGTCCAATCCATCTTCACTTTCTCCTGCATATTTGTTGAGCGATTGGTTCTTGTTTTGTTTGTTCCCATAGTTTCTTGTTTGTGATTCTTTCCAGCCATCTGATCTTCAGTATAGGACGAAGACAGTTGTTGATAAAGGTCTGCAACCTGTTGGAAATATTCTTTATGACCTGCCAAGTTTCTGATCTGTATAGAAGAACTGACTTGACGTTTGTACTGAAAATCCGAATTTTGTTGTTGATGCAGGCTGAGTGACGAAGATTTCCAGATTGGTTTCAGGTTGATGAATGTGTTTCTCGATGTGGAAGGAGAGGTTGGTCACTAATTTCTTTGTTCATCGATAGAAACTATGCAACACGAACACCAGACACATGGAAAATAAACGGATAAGAAGCAATGAAATTACATTTTTTTAAATGGTCCGAAAGTTATGTGAATGCACCTTGATATGATTGTAAGTAATAAATTGTGCTCAAAACATCGTCACTAAGTGATAATATATCACTGGATATTTTTATCGAAAAAAAACACAACTATACTATGACAGAAGTATACTCAATCAAATTGCCAAAATTCTATTCTTATCTTGACTTTATAACTATTAATAATTTGTGATGAATACTGTTCATGGACTCTTATTTATTTTAAATTGAATTTTACCAGAATACTTCAGCACTCGTACCTCAATGCTCTGTCATAATGTACGTGACAAAACATTCACGTTAAACTGCCTTCTTCCTAAGGCAAACACTTATCACAGTTATGGAAGATTATGTGGTCAGTTAAAGAAGATAGTCTGATTCCCTTTTGAGTCAATGAATCACACCATTTACAGTCGGTCAGCACAACACTACATCATCAAAATCCTTATCAGACCTTAGGTTATTTGTGCAACCTAACCAACAGTTCTAACACTATAAAAAACAAGAGTACAATTATATATATATATATATATATATATATGGCTCCTTACGTTCTCAAAAGAACAAAAGATTTTAGCGGTAAATCGTCATTGCACTTGATTGTCTGCCATCACTTTTAACTGGTTACACGACTGCCTACAAGCTTCCAATTCCTCTTCACATGATCTTCATGTCACCCACGGACATTTAGTCATATCTCTTATTCTAGTTCCACCCGTAGTACTGATATGTTCATTCCATCTCCATTCCATTCAGCATGCATCTTCGGCAATAAATTCTTGATCGATTAACTACCAGAGTTCCTAGTTGCCTATCCTTTCTGACCGGCTATGTTACTTTCAGTATCCATAGAAGACATGCATTGATGATAAACTGTAACAGTCTGTTGGAAATGCACGGGTCGAGTCTTTGAACTGTGTAGATGAACCAACATTAAATTTGAAAACAGGAATCTTTTTTCTGGTCCTGAATGCCAAAGATCGCCACAATAGTTTCAAAGTAATGAATGTCCGTTTCACTTCCCCTATCCCATCATCACTTTGGCCTCTTCATCCGTGTCGCCTATAGTTGAAACGACGCTGCCCGGCCAAGTAAGTGAATGAAACGACTCGCTTTAGGTTTCTCTCATTGATAGTGTTTGTTATTGGTCGGGTATTTTCATCATTTCTGCCTTCTCTATATATTCCTGAAGTCATGTCTTTTCTGTCTCTTCTGTCAATTTATTGGTTTTCCGCTAGTATGATACCATCATTGTTTATTTTGTTGGTTTCTCGTCAGCTGCTTACACCCTAATTAAATCACTATTAAGTTCATGTAGAGAAAATTTTAAACATACTTGCAAATTTTTACATGATGTCAGTTGACAGGAGATCCCGGGATTGGTGAACAATACTCAGAAAATGACGTTTATATAGTTTTTACACAGGCAGTTCAAGATTAAACAAAGTTAATGAATGCATACAATGATAAAGGACCTACGAAATAAAGACGAGAGATGAGTAAGATGTTGAGTGACTAATAAATAAGGTAACAATGTCCTGAGTTCAACTTAAATCATAGAAACAAGAGACCAGCAAAATTACGCTATATTAAAGGGGTGATGTTAAAGCTAAAGATTACGTGATCAAATCAATCAATGAATCAAATCTCATACTGCAAGTCAAGGATAAATTACCAAAGATGGCCTCATCAATGTGTATCTATGAATTCAACTGCTCATACGGAGCTAGTTACATTGGCCGTACTCAGAGGACTTTATCCATGCGCGTGCGTGAACATGTACCTGTATGGTTGAGTAAAGGAGTAACCAAATGTGTAAATAGTGCAGTCTTAGCCCACTTGGTAGATACGGGACACCCAATAAAACTTGACCAGGCGTTCTCAGTTATTTACCGCGTTCCTAGTAATTTATCTAGAGGAGCTCGACTACGTCTTCTATCAGTAGCTGAAGCGGTGGCAATTAATACCAGAAGACCATCTCTTCGCATACAGAAGAAGTAAGTTCAACCACTACGTTTACCTTGGCCTACAATAAAGCCAACAAATCCTCCATTAACACTATAAATTCCTTTCACAATTTTCTTTTCTTCTTCTTCTATTCCTCTGTTTCATTTACAATCGTTCATTTTCGACTTTCATGATTTCATGACCTTTATTATGATTTTATTACCTTAGGTTTAAATAGTGCTTTTCTAACTTGCTATCGTATTTACAAAATCCTGTTCATTCCACTTCATTATATTCATTATTATTATTATTCGACAATCATTCACCAATAGTGCTTGTAATTTTACACAATATCACCGTTATTATTTTACTGTCGTTATTTTCAACCTTGAACTTATGTCTAGTCCGACCCATTCGTTGGTTTATTTTCATATTGTCTCACACACCCTGATTACACACACTCTCGAAACTTGTATTTTCTGTTGACTATATTTATATTTGTATACATACATCATTAAATTAAATTACTTCATCTCATCTTGTCCCATGTTCTCATTGATCATGCATATTAAAAAACTATCTGACTACTGTTCCATCCCATCTTATACTTGTTCCACAATACACTTTCTGATATGATTCTAATTTGCCTTTACCGGCTGGCTATTGTATACTTAAATTAATGGATTTATAACTGTAAAGCCTGAAGAAGAATTTATTGAAACCACAATTGTTCGCTCTAAATATTTTGTTCTAAAAACTATATAAGTGTAATTTTCTGAATACTGTTCACCGATCCCCGGACCTCCTGTCAACTGACATCATGTAAAAATTTTCAAGTATGTTAAAAATTTTCTGTACATGAACTTATTAGTAATTTAATTAGGGTGTAAGCAGCTGATGAGAAGCCAACGAAATAAACAATGATGGCACTATATTATTCTGCACAAACCACTGTTGTTCTTGATTTATTCAAATAAGCACTGGTTTAGATTTGCATTGGGAACAGCATCACAATGAGATAAAGGCATATGTATCTACTTATTGGGTACTAAAGGGAACAGAAACACGAGAAATAGATTCTGCTGCCATATCCACCATCTACTGAATCACGTTATTATGACTACTGTGATTATTATTTATTAACTCAGAGAGGCGTTCGAAGTGCATACAGGAGTAAGACAAGCTGGCTGGCTATTATCACCGATAATATTCTTAATTGTGGTGGACTGGATTATGCGTCAGACTGTTGGGGGCGAGGAGTCAGGAATACGCTGGACGACCGATAAGAAGACTCTAGAAGATCTGGATTTCGCAGATGATATATGTCTAATGTCACACAAACTCGAAGACTTGCAAGCGAAAATCAACAAACTGGCTGAAGAGGCAGCGAAAACAGGACTGCAGGTGAACACAGAGAAGACGGAGGTGATGAAGATAACCAATCAACAGCAATAACAACCAGCATCAATCACCATCAACGGGAGAGACTTAACTGAAGTTGCCTCCTTCACTTATCTGGGAAGCATCTTTTCAACTACAGGCGGAACGGATGAAGATGTCAAAGCCAGCCAGCCAGAATCGGAAAGGCAAGATACGCCTTCATCAACTTGAAACCAATTTGGAAATCTTCCGCACTCAGCATAAGGAACAAGATTCGGATTTTCAACACCCATGTCAAGTAGGTCAGTTCTTCTTTATGGGTCATAAAATTGCACTGCGTATCACGAAAAACATTTCCAACAGGTTGCAGACTTTCATCAACAGCTGCCTTTGCTGGCTCCATACTGAGGATCAAATGGCCAGAAAGAATAAGCAACAAAAAACTATGGGAACAAACAAAACAAAAGCCAATCGCTCAAGAAATATGTAGGAGAAAGTGGAGATAGATCGGGCATACATTGAGGAGGAGGCCGCCGAATGACATCGCACCCCAGGGCCTTGAGTGGAATCCATATGGGAAGCGACAAGTGGATCGTCCTAGGGTGACATGGAGGAGAGATCGTGTGAGGAAGAGATGAGAGAGTTTGGTCAGTCGTTGACCCAGCTGAAGAGGACGGCAGAAAACAAAACAAAGCGAAGATGTGTTGTTGAAGCCATATGTTCCACTAGGAAAGCAAGGGAATAATAATAACAATAACTCTGTCTCGTCAGTATATTTACTCATGTTCTAATTTTCATCATCAACGAAACTCAGTTATGCCTACTGCATTAAAATCAATTAATTGTATTATTTCTGTTTTTATCGTTTTAATGAAGCAGGACTAAATAGGTTACTTCTCTTGGAAGTTGAATACGTTAAACTAAATCAACAATCCCCACTTCATTCTCGTTTTTTTTATAAATTTCAGTTTCTACCTTCTCATTGTACACATCCCTATGTTAAATTAACCAGTTGTTGGTAGTTAGATAGCATCAGATCATTAACATCAAAGGCAACATCGAATCATCGGCTTTACAAGGAAAGGAAACATCAGAGAGAGACTGTGATCATTGCAGTATTAGGGAGCGGGGGGGGCAATTGAAAAGTTTCTAGAAGTAATAATACTACTAATAATAATAACATCTAACAAAATGCATAGTATGTGTAAAATAAGAATGGAACTTACACTACTTCCATTATGGTTGGCATTAACATAAACCTTATTATCATCAGTAGAAAAATCTAAACTATTAGAAAAGATGATATGATGATCTGGATTATTCAACCATTCCAAATTTTCACCAGATACATAACCAATAAATGATCTCAGCAGAATAGACGCTAAAATATTCATTGAATAAAATAAAACAAGATAAAGAAATATTACATAACCAGAAAATATGTATGAGAGAAAATGAATGAATGAATGAATGAATGAACGATAATGATTACCCATAGAAGTTCATCGACAAACATAGAAAACGTAGTCCTGACACTGGCTGGTTGGCTGGATTCCACATAGAACTTGGCACAGAAGTGCAGCAGTTCGAGTTGCCACGTTCCAAATAGCACACAAAGGTAGACAAGAAAATGAGTGAAGAGAATCAATAGAGTTTTGACAAGTATAAGAGTGAAACAGAATGAGTAATGGTAGAAAGGAATATGAAAGATCACAGAGACTGAATACATCTGCGTAAGCCATTGACAACGACTTTTAGCCATGTCAACTATTGTCTCCAGCCACTGATTCTTAGAGTCCCGATGGCGGGTCCCAACCCGGAAGTCTGCATCTCCCTACCTGACTCAGTTTAACTGTCAAGGATTTCATGGATTGATGAGGCCATGTTTTTGTTTGGCCACCACTTACTCTTTTCCAACCTGCACCTATATCAGCTAGTAGTGTCCGTCGGGGGAGGTGATGGTTAGGCATGCGCAGCACGTGACCTAGCCATCTCAATCTATGTAACTTTATAGTCTCGTCGATTGATTTTCCCTCTTTACCCAACACTCTACGCCTAACGTCAACATTACTTACCTTATAATACCATCTAACTTGAGAAAAAGGTCGTAGACATCTATGATCAAAAACAGTCAACCTTTTCATGTCTTCAACTCTTATTGGCCATGTTGGCCATGGAGCGAACTGCTGAGCAGTACACACGTCCCTTGGTTGATAGTCGGATGTCACGCCTACGCCAGAGATGGTGTAAGTTAGCGAAAGCAGCCCGAGCTTTTTGGATCCTTGCTGAGATTTCGTCACCAATCAATCCGTTGGTTCTGATGCAACTTCCCAAATAGGTGAAGTGGTCAACATGTTCTATCACTTCACTCCCTATCACGAAGCTAGGAGTTGACGTAGTCCAGTCCTGTAGCAGCATCTTACATTTTACGGGGGCGAATTGCATGCCAAACATACGAAGATTGCTGCTCAAGGTGTTCAGAAGACTCTGCAAGGTTAAGTACATACAGCGCAGTAGAGAAAAAACCTGTCTTTCTACAGTTTGCCTTCAAAGGTGACAATACTGCTAGTAGAATAATATGCAAACTGAACTCTGCCCTGAAAAGAACATATCCAGCTGCCAAACTTGTATGTGTTTATCAAACGACCTGTTGTTTAAGACAGTGAAAAGTAGACAAACTCCCGCTTTATGTAACCTACATCCAACTGCATCCACCAATTTACTTGTATGTGCCAAAGCACATACATTGGAAGAACAGAGAGAAGAGTTATTGTCTGCATCGCTGAACGCATACCAAAGAACCCGAGATTAAAGGGCTCACAAGCATTAGACAGTGTGATTGCACACCATCTACTAGACACTGGCCATGTTGTGAGCAATCTGAAGTCGTTCAAAAAAATCAGCAGACAAAAGAAACCTAGCCTGCTTTGTTTCGCTGAGGCAATCGCAATCAAACGGCTAAAACCAAATCTACGTAACCAGAGAGAGAGACAGTTGTGGATCTTTCGCAACAAAACGCAAAACTTTCACTACATCATCTTCTGTACTGTTTAGAAAACTTGAATTTTTTCGGTTAAACATGACTCATCCTACCCCCCATTACTTCCTATACTCTTTCTAATTAAACTTTATTTCTACCCACAAAGCAATTGTTGAACTCTGTCCTACTGTTTCCAAGCTTAGTCATGCAATTCTTCTATAAATAGTCGATCTTGTTCACTCTTAATTATTCAACAACTTACATTATTTCTGACCAATGTTATTCTCAGTTCCAATCAATTATGCACTATCATTGTAAAAAACAGTATGTTCACATCTTTAATTTAATTTATAATTTTAGTATTGTTCAGGTTGTAACCACAGGTGAGAAGAATCCACGAAATAATAAAAATACAATAAAACATGAGCTCACATTATCCTGGTACACATTTGTCGTTCTTGCTTTATTCAAATTTATTAATGGGAAGATTTTGTATGGAGCTTTTAGTACTGATTCATTGAAATGAGTAGTTTGAATACCACTCATGACAGCCAGTAGTACTTGCTAGCTAGATCAATATAACTGATTGGGCTCTCTGAGATGAACTGAGTTGAGTTGAACCGGGTACATCAAACGGGAGAAAATGGCCGTTCAGTGTTTCGATCACTTCTATCTGGCTGGCTAGCTAGCAAGCACCACTGGTTGTTGTGCGTGGTGTCCATCTACTCATTTTAGCCTATCAGTAGTATAGAGTTTTATGTATATTTTTGCTTGATTTCTTGATTATAACTTATGGTATTAAGCAGATACCACATACTGTGGTGATGTGACTAATTTCTGTTTTTCACAGGGAACTGTGGTGAAATTTTATCTTTCAATGTGTATATATTGTGAACTAGAGCAGGAAAGAAAATGTAGAATGGATTTACACTGACTGGTTGGTCAATAGGGGGTGGAGGGGGGAAATAACTAAAGTCGAAAGTCTAAATCTTAAGTGCTAACTGAATTTCAATCGTTATTTTCTTGGTAGCCACCTTAAATCGCTGAGTTACTTGAATTTCCAACCAGTAGAGCGAATATACTTTGCTGTGTTTCTCTTGATTTGTCTTAATCTTCCAAATGATATCCTCAAAATCGCACGCAACACGAACTCATGCATGCAAATGCTTGATTAGGCTTCATACTGTGGTGAGCGCTACTGATAAGATTTATCAGTAGTATATAAACAGAAGTTCATAGGCAGGCATAAAAACATCAAATAGCAGGGAGATACATTTGATTTCAGAGAAGGCAAATGATACAGCGTTGTGGGGATGCATAGGAGACGTGAAAGGAACACAAAAAAACACAACATGAAGTCGAGAAGTACCACAACACGAAGATCTGTACAAATGGTGCCTTGAAGATAAGGTATACATAATTTGGCTGTATAGAGATACCAATTGCCAAATAAACATTCCTTTACCAAGTCTTTCGTCTTCTACCGTTTCAAAACTACTGTTGTATACTTTGAGAAGAAAAAAGGAAGGAAAAAATTATCGTAGAGGATTGAGTCTTGTTTCAGATAAAAGGATGTCGTGTCATTACCATTTACTGTCGACGAATATTTTACCTGGAGACTCTAGACGGGGAGTTCTATACTGAGAATTCTGTATTGTATTCAAACAGAATAAAGCTCATATTGCTATTATTATCAGTATTATTATTTCACCAGTCACCTTTGAAATATGTTCACGAAGCTGCTCGGTGGTGTGGTTCACTTTCAACTGACTCTGGGTATCGATTGTTTTCAGCCATGTATTACCACAAATAGAGCCAGTATAATTTACGTTACAATACATTAATATTATAGATTTAATCACAAGCTAATATCATTTAGAGAACCATCGAAGAACCAGGGATTACTGGACAACTGTTCCGTCCTAGTTTGAGACTCCTCCTCCGTACGCAGTCGTAGCCGCGGTTCCAACCCAGGACATTCTGGCTACAAGGCGAGCTCATAAGACATTTGGCCACTGGGACCCGATCCAATGGTCAGTGCATGAATAATAACTTACCTCTTACCTGACTTGGTGGAACCCCTTGCTTACGACTTCTCACCAGTTCTCCCAGGTTTTCCAGTGGTTCCCTAAGTGATGTCAGCTCGTGACTAAACCTGTAGCCAATCAAACCGAGCAAACCAACACTTGATTTGTTATCAATTAGGAATATATAAAATCCCCGGGGGATACAATCCTAAACTTCACTTAGCCGGTAGTACACCCAGTAAAGAGAAAAGAGTGTACCGTGGGGCTAGAAATATCCCCCCCCCGCCGGCTTGTAAAAAAAATAACATCAATGCTACTGAAACTTCAAAACTGATGCTTGAAGTCCTACGTTCCGCTGGGTACACAAAGGAATAAAACAAAATGTAGTTTCATAAAAGGTTAATTAAACTAAGAAAACGGTGAATAGGATGAAATAATCCACTCATTCCTATGCATCACACAAGTTTACTGAGTATATAGGCGGTGGAAGTGAATAAATTAACAAATACTATGGACTCAGCCTTTGTTAAACAACAAAAAGTACAAGATATCCGCAGCTACTTCAAGTGCTATTAGCGAAAATGAAGTACTCACACCAGTAAGTTCAGTGGTAACAATATAGGCAACAGAGGAAAACTGTCGAAAAGAAAAGACGAATCGAATAGTGATGCATAATGTTCCTGTCGACATATCGAATAGTGTGGTGAGAGCTGGCTGCTAGCCAAAGTTGGTAAACAGCAATTGACGTCAATGTTTATGTCCCCAATATTGGTGGTGAGAAAATGAGAACAAAGGCTTTGCGTAAGCGGATACAGTTAGCATATGGATGATCTGACACAGCCTCAAAGAGATGCAACGTTAACTTTCTGTGAAAAACAACTAATCAAAAGACTGTATTTTCTACTAACAATAAACTACAATAATGTGCATTAAAATCTATAAATATGTGTTGATTTTCCTTAATTAACGATCTGTTGCCTGGCCCTTGTCTTCTGTTGTTACAATAGTTGCTAATAAACAGAAACCAAAAACTTAAAAAATCACTAAAATGGAAAGTAACTTGGTCCCATAGGATGGGCAACAAGGATGCCTGTGGCAACGAACCAAGCAACAACCTATTGGTAAAAAAAGTATGCAGAAGAAAAAAGGAGATGGATTAGGCATAGGCTGAGGAGACACATTCAAGTGAAGCGACACACCAGGATCTCCAGTGGAATAGCACCGGCGAAATACAAGTTGGGCCTCAGAGAATGACATGTGAAATAGAAATTAAAGCTGACAGTGATTGAACAGAACAGAGCGAAATGGCGATGTCCAGTCAAAGTCCTATTGTTCCACTCAGAACCGAAGGAACGAATAATAATATAATGAAGG